ATTCAGATTAAAAGGTTTTCTTGTTTCTTAATACTTTTGAAGCCCAAGTACAAACTTTCTTGTGGAATTTCTCTAAATGGTGTCTTTTTTTTTAAATATTCAAATTCTGCTACTACTGGTGCAATAAATTCAGAGGAGGATGAAGACTGAATTTTACAGTTTGAAACAATGCAGATGAACCCAATGAGGAGCAGCTTTTGAGTCCAGAGGAGCTACTAGCAAATGCAGCAGCACATGTTACAAGCTCCTGAAAGAGCAGAGAGAGGCAGCTCTCAACGCCATTCAGGGACCTGGCACAACATCAATGTATTTCTCAGCAATCATTTTGTAAGGCACCCCACCAAGAGATATTAAGTAATACATGGAGCTCAGTCTGTAAAAAATGTGTAAAAATAAAAGTATAAAACTGATCCCATTATTTGAAAAAAAAAAAAACCTAACTAATCCCTTTCATACCGGGGGATATGGAATATTTAAATCATAATTTGACAAATTTGAACACAGACAGTCTTTTGAGATGGGATTCTCTGTCTAAGCAGGAGTGTAAGGATGGTGCCAAATTTGGGTGGAACATAAATATAAATGCTGCTGCGGCATCATTTACACCCAATTTGTTTTCATTTTAGAAAATAAAATTATAGAACAGATTAGCGGAAATGTAGTGTTAACCATTAAATATTAACTATTATTATGTAACCTAACTGTATCTTGTCTTTATAAAACTAGTTACAGATAATTCTGATTGTACAAAATAACATTGTAATACACATAAGATTGAATTGTTGTTGAACATATTTCCCATACACACCTACAGCACTTATGTATACTATTTGAAATATCTATAGACCCTCCTGATGACTGATAGAGCCCCCAAGGAGTGAATTTCAGTGGTGTTTACTGTGAGCGGCAGCAGACCTACTAGACAGCTGCTTGGAATCCCACCAAATACATCTGATCAAAATCCCTCCTCCTGTCAGTATCTCAGCCTTCACTGTGGAAGTATATTCTGTACAAGAATTTGTGCTATCAAACAAACCTTGGCACATCAATGAAGCTCATCTCGAAGAGAGCTTTTCAAAATAAATCAGCAGAATAAATACAGACAGCTAGCAAAACACAACTAGTAAAGCATTACAAATCCGGCCTATTTTCCCAAAATGCATGATCTGGGATGACAAATGAAACGCCAACTCCAAAAGTGTTGATGTCGCTGGGAATAGGATGGATTCCTGGATGAATCAGTCAGAGTCTGTGTGGAAGTGCCATTTGTGTAAAACTGAAAGTTTGGTGTTTTTTTTTTTAACACTCTCGTCACAATGCTAGAGGCGGGCCCAGAGCCAGAGAGAAGCCATGTTCCAGAGTACATTTAGAACACCAAATAGCCCTGAGCAACAAATTTAAAAATATCAACAAAGTCAAACCTGTTTATGTGACATCATGAAGTAAACAACAGTGCCATTTGATTTCATTTCTACAATATTTGTCCATCAACCTTTTCCAGACCTGATACAATTCCCAATCGAACACTTTCATTACTGACCATTTCTCAGAGCAGCTAACATTTAGTGACATTTGGAGAAGATGAGATGCCGACAGGGTCTCCTGGCATTATATCAGCCATCAACAATTTACTTTACAAAACGCTGAGATTGTTTGTGCAGGTTTCTGCTGAGGGAGGTATCTACAAAACAGTGCAAGTTAGCTGTACGTTTGCTAAGTGATTAGACAGTAGCACAGGCCAGAATAGATAATAAGAAGCTGCTTAAATAGTTTTATAATGGTTGGATATAGGATCAGGATGTACAGGTTAATTTTATGGCAGTATTCACAGTGCTATTTTATCAGTTAAAACACTATAGATTAGTGGCTTGCCCACAAGCTTCTTGACATATCAAAACTCATTTGTATCAAAAGTATCAGTTCACAAAAAACAACAAAACCGGGTCCTTCCTAAATAGTTCTTGAACTACGTCAAAGCTTGTATAAGTCCACACGATAATGTTAAAAAACTATTTCAATATCGGTAATGAGCCTTTTCCGTGGTATAAAAAATGAGAACATTTTTGTATTGTGACTTATCTTTTTTCACACCCTTATTTTCAGTGTACCATCAATCAAACACAATCCTGAATGGTTGGTAATTGCACAGTTAGACCCCAAAAATTTTTGGTACAGTTTGTTACTTAGTAGATTTTTACATGAATAAAGCAGACATAATTTAAGCAAACTAGAAGAACTAAATGTCAATTTCAAGCTGCACCATTTAACAATCATTTTTGTCAAAAACTCCACCACAAGCTGCAAAAAGCTTCTGGTGTGATATATGAAAACGGATATAAAAACCTGTAATAATGCCTGCAGAAAACAAAAGATATGAGATGACAATAATAAAAACCACAATAATAATAAAGAGTAATCTCTTATGGATACAAATGGCCTATAAATAACATAAATCAAAAGCAATGTTCTTGCCAACAGTCTCCAGACAACACAAATTTATCTCCATAGTGCATGGCTGTCTCAAAAGAAGGAGAGAAGAGAAGAAAAGTGCTAAAAGGGAAAACTGGAGAGGCCATTTAGTGATTTGAGCAGTGAAGCTGCTCCACTGCCAAGGACATGTAAGAGAGACAGAGAGAGCCAGAGTGCCTCTCAATACATCAGACGTCAGGAGAGCCCCCTCACACTCACACCAATGCATCTTCTTTTGGAAATCGTCAGCGCAGCCGCTCTCAAGTTGGTGAGCAATACAAAACAACAAAGAGGTGGACACAATCGGAGGCAGCAGACTGTGCAATTGCCAGCACATTGATAAAGTTAATGCATTTAAGGATATTTAGGAGAATCTGAGCTAGCTCTGGTGTCATGTCAAGTCTGAAAGTTTAGAGAAAATAAAAGAGAGATTTTATACATTATTTTTTACATTACACTCATTTACAGGAAAACACAAACCTATGCAGTAAAATCTTCATGAAAGGTGCACTGTGGAACATTGTGTTATTTATCCTCATTACTTATCCTCTGTCAGCCACTTCTGGGTTGATTTATTTTTCTCTTAATCTCCACAATAGAGAATAGCTTCATTAATTATCATTACCCCAGAGTAAGGTAAAGCCCACAAAGGGCACATACTGTACAAGGAGCTCAGACCAATTCTGTCTCTTCAGGTATAAGTGTCCTTATGAAGACTTGAAATGTTCTATGTTTATCTGTTGTTTCTAATAGGAGAGCAGAGTGGCAGGTGGCAAGAGCTTATCCTCACAGCTGTGCTATAGGTGGACATATCATGGATGTTATTACTCAGTGCCTCCCATACAGCATATTACCATATTTATTTATTAGGTATAGGTTCAGTAAAAATTACTGTCACTGTCATTCACCACTGAAAGAGAAGACAGATGGTACTATAGGTAGTGCCCTATGAGGAGGACATGCACACAAAAGAATTTGGGATTTAGTGGAAAATGTCAATAGTTGGAGTGTATGACGAAACAAATGTGACAAGACAAGATAAGAATGCCATTTGGATTTCACTCCAGAAACAATTAGGCTTCCCTTATCTCTTTCATGGATCTCTGCCTCCTGACACAACACACAACAATAGACCATGACTTAGTGTTTACAGATTAGCCAAATCTTCTGTTCACCACAATGATTATATGCACTGTGCTAAGTAGCATAAAAATCATATAAATGAGAGTCAGAGTACATTTGCATTTCATTGAGGGTTAAAAAGAGCAGCACGATTGTCACAAAAATCATGCAACACATTAAACTAAAGCATTGAAATAGTTAAGAAAATAAGCTAGAAAAAAATGCCAACTTAACAGTTTCAATCCAACCTCAATACACTGAAGAAAGGTACTTTAATGTGCCAGAGGGCCTATGTGTCAGAGGACCTTTAGCCAGTATTCTAACTGTGAAAAAATCTGAAGACCACCACTGACTTGTTCGGTGTAGAGCTGACAATAAAGTGAATTAAGCCTCATCTAAATGCAAATGAGGCTTCAGGGCTTTGGCAAACACATTACATTACCACTGTCTATTTTAATAAACCAATTATATTGTAGTCTGTACTGCACCATACAACAAAATAAATGCTGGGGTACACAAAACATACATAGGGTAGAAACTGGTGTTAAGCAAGCAACCAAATTGAAGGAAATGAAGCAGGGCTTTAAAGCAAAATTTTAAATGAATGCCTCTTTACAAAATAGTGCCCTGCTGTGTAATCACTTTTGGATGACTAACATATAAAGCTGCTGTCACAAAACACCATTCCAATAGCTTTGAGGAATGTTCATTTGTACAACATGCAATGCATAGGATCAAAGCTCCACAGTCTCCAATTTTATTTCTGTCACTGATACTGCTAACCCTCATACAAACCTAATACATGGAAAACTGTCCATAAGCCTATAGACCATTCCTTCAACATATGCAAAATACATACTGGACATTTATATTCTTGAGTTTACCTATTGCAACTATCTGGTTATGGTAAATGCATTCATTGTATATGAACCTGTCTCTCAACAGAATTAAATACATGTTGTACATAAAAGTGCTCTGCATTCATTTAACATTGGATGCCAAATGTGCCTTCATATCTCCTTGCTAACTTTAGTAAAGCATTTACTGGAAAGAGATTAATATCAGTTTCATAAATCATTCAGAGGATACATCCGGAGCCAGAGATACTGGTATGTTAGCTGATCTCCATGTGGGGCTCAGGGCCCATTAATCAATGTCTGTGCTTCTCTAGCTTTTTTTTTTATCAGAACAGAAACTATAATTTCCAACACGGTCTTATAATGATGCACAAGTATTTGCATGATTTAAAGTAAAAAGCAAACATATCACCTGTTGTTCAGCCAATCCCACATTACCACATTCAGTGAGAGCGCTATGTGCAGAAGGCACATATATTTGAGGGCAAAAACAAAGGAGCAATTGCACTGAAAGGCTTGTATTACATATACATCTTCACTTGTGGTACTCACCACTCTCAAAGCAAGCATCAAAAATCAGATGACCTTTCCGTGGCGATCCCGAGAAACCAGGAGGGCTCACTGTCAGCTTGTTGACATTCCCCACCAAAGCATCCTCTGCTCCAGTGTCACTGCCTGAAGAAAAAACAAGAATATACTTAAAATGGAATACACATAATAATGGCTGCAGTTTCACTCAAAATCTGTTTTTGGAGTTAAAATATAATTAAAATGAAATATAAAGAGCAAAATCATCTGATTTCTTTTTAATCATTGTTTCTCTGGTCATAGTCCTTTTGATTACTCACATGAAATTGTGCAGCTAAGAAAACAGATATTGATCAAATTTTAGTGATGTAATCGCGGTCAGTGATGCTGATAAAAAAGATGCATTATGCATTTTGACGTATTATTGGTGCATAATTAATAATCATTTTCATTAACATTCACCTGAAATATTTTTTTTTTAAAATAAATCGTTCTTGGTCAGGGACTTGTCTGTGCACATAGAAAATCTAGACCTCCAGCAACTAATTTTTGCGCAACTTCTATTCAGGTGGGACAGCTGCCTAATCCAGGTAATTATTGAGCTATAGCTAGCACTCGCCAACATCCTCTCTAACCTGCACCACACGATCTCTTCTAATAGACAGGCATGAACATGGTAAAATAAGTGCATGGCGTCTCTTTTATTTGGACAAAGGCGACGGCAGTGGCTCTGGTGTTAGATCATAAACAAACCTGCTGAAATTAGGTTGTTTACATGCAGCTAACCTAGCTAGAGTGGATAGCATATAGCATTAACAGCATCAGTATCATGCACAGAAATATCTAAACAGGGATGCTACTTATGTTGGAAAGCAGGGCGATGTTAGCTCAATTTAGCCAAAAATAAAGCTATTTAGGCTGAGTTATTACACACCAGTGTCGCCGTCTCGAACAGGGTTCTCCTCCATCTTCTTCCTCTGAGCTAAAGCAGCCGACGCTCTCCCCGCGTTGCCAAGACAACAGAGGAAGAGCATGCAGCGGTGAAGTCCTCTCCATCAGCACAGCGCCCTCCGATACACGGCTCTTTCAGGCAAAACCGGTTGGTAAGTTATTTTTCAGGGACAGAAGTTTAATATTTTTATTACAAGAAGGATTTAAAGAAAAAAAAAAAAGTAACCTATCTATGATATATAGCCTAAGCACATGCCTAAACAGCACCCACGTGTTTAATTTGACATATTAGCAACACAGCTAGCTTTTGTTTAAATTATCAATATAGGAGGCTATATATTTATATCGATTCATTCATTAATTTCTATTGGCTATACCGGCCTTGTCCTATGGCAACAATACCTGTGAAACATGAGTAATGAAGAAAACATGATTCAGGGTTACACATTGATTAGAGGGGGATTTCTAGACAATTGGAGCATAGATGTCATCAAGGCCAATCAAGCCTCAGTTGATTCCTTTCCCATCACTTTGGCTGCACCTGATTAAGTACATAAAATGAGAGCAGCAGTCTGAAAACATACTGGCTCATTCTAATTTTCAGCTTATAACCTGTGTAGCAACACTAAATGAATCAGGGCTGAGAAAGACCAATGACTTTTTTTTTTCTGTGTGTGTGTGTGATCTGTATCTGATGGTGAGCATCAACAGGCTGGTGAACAGATAGGTCAGGCTGATTATTTTTCTAATGACAAGGAGAGGAGATAGAGTCACTGTGTAAAATCTCCTTAAAATTGAAGAGCTGTCTGTCTGCCACACTTTATTTAACAAAACAATGAAAGCACATATTTTTTCTCAGTGAATCTATCTGAACTGATGATAAGCCGCATTGTATGAGAAATGTTCATACAGACATTATAACAAAAATTGGCTAACTAACAAAACACCATATTGCATGTTTTAGAGACCACGCATAGTGTTAGTAATTGAAAATGAATTTGAATGCAGTAAATTAGAGCTGTTGTTTTTATAAGTTGATAGTTCACTCTCACTCACTGTCTATAAGTCTGTCACAGATCTTAGAAAAGAGCAGCAATGATTTGATGAACACATTAATATAGTGATAGTGTACACTATAGTCTCACATTTTGATGATCTAATCATACCAACACAGATAACTTTCTTTGGAGGACAAATGCGGAACACATCAAAAGCTCCTGGGGAAACTGTGGCTTTGACATTGCAAAGGAATTTCTTTCTTTCAGTCTTCTCTGTAACTGCAAAATGATCATGTAAACCAGCATTTGTGGCTAGACAACAGGATACCAAGAAAAAAATGTAACGAATATGTCTGTATTTGAAAAATAAATGTTATTTGTTTGGGGTTTTTTGTCTTCTAAAGTTACAGGAAAAATCACTTTTGCTGTGACCATCCAAGAACGTCCACACATGGAGCTCATCATCAGTGTAAGGGGGAAGTCAAGCACAAATCAAAGTGTAAGTATACAGAGAGCTGGAGCTGAAGGGTGAGACAGGCTGGTGCGAGGAACAGGGGCCGTACACACAGAATCACTATGGTGACAGCATTCAGGGGCTCAGGGGAGAGCGTGGGTCAGAGAGGAAGCTTTGAGAAGCAGCTGACTGAGGAATCAGAGCTCACTCTGCATCATTCATCTGACAGCTCCCCTCAGGCTTCAGCACAGCTCTCCCCAGAGACAACTATCCTGAACAGGGAGGAGGAGGCCCGCAACTGCATATGGAAAAAAGCTAGCACTTAAATAATCGACAGCTATATACTAAGTTAATGAAAAGTTCAGTTGTTGAACTAAACATAATTGAACTACTGTGTGTTTTTTCCCTTATGTATAGAAACTATACCAGAAATATATTTTATAATACAGTGGGATCAATAATAGCTTTGTCTTTTATCCTATCTTTGTCTCTAAATGTGTCACTTCCTGTGTGTCTCTCTCCCTCCCTACGCTCCACTCTGCTGGACACTGTCCATCTGAGCAGATGGTCCAGTGTCAATAGGCTGCTATTAGCTGGTGGTTTCTTCCATTCTGATCCAAGAGCAAAAAAGCACATTCAAATCAGTGAGAATAAATACACATTAATAGATTTTGACAAATGCAAGATAAAATCAGATTTGTGGTTTACACATATCTACACATAGCAATGACATAGTGTTAATGGGAGTCACCTACACTTGACAGTAATGTGGTGAATCACTTCCTTGGCACAAGCTGACTTCTCTCTGTTTACTTAGTGCAGCCGGGATCTCCTGCCTCAACAGTGAGTGGCTGCTTCGTCATCACAGTGCCACACCCTGCTGAGGAGCACAGTGAAGGACCTGACCTTCATGTCCACAGTCAGTTACTTCTCCCAGAAACTCTTCACCTAAACCTGTATTATGCATTCTCACGGTATCTCCTTTCATCAGGTGATTTTACACATAACTTAAGCACATAAAAAAAATGTTTTAGGCTTTAAAACCACAACTTTTTTTGATAGATCATCCAATTAACAGATAATGTATTACATTCTGTGTGTTTCTCATCAAAAAATCAATAAAGGAGTGGCACAAAGAAGGTATGGATGTATGAGGTGGCAATATCTTTGCAGTTGTTAGAACAGTCTTCCCACCTTGTGGTCGCTTGGCGAACTGTAGCTGCATAGATGCGTGAGCACTTGGACGACGGCGAGTTGAGCGAGAGAGAGAGTGATGTGGGGAGCGATGGAGTGAGAGAGGGAGGAAAGAGCCAGGAGGAGTGATGCAGAAGAGAGAGAGAAAGAGCTAAAGGGAGGGCAGTTTAAACTAACTGCTATGTTTTGGGACAGGCTAATCTGCTAGCGAGCAGTGTGAGGATCGGAGCGTATTGTGTGAGCCAGTGTGCGGAGGACAGATAAGGGAGCCAGCCAGCCCAAGCCACCGCCTGCCTGAGTGCCTGTTTTAATGTGCTGACTCTGAGGAGATTAAAAACAACATATTGACTCCTTAGACGTGCGCGGAGAGCGGGCAGACGCCACCACAGCCACAGCCCACAGCGGTGAACCTAGCAGACAAGGGGCAGACAGAATAGGACTGAACAAAATTACCATTCAGAAAATTAAAAAAAACAATACAGGATTTTTTCTTCCCCTATTTTTCAATTGATTTAATTTTTCTTTCTTTCTTTTTTCGTTGCTGGGACTGACTCCGCAACTGCCAAGAGATAAACGCCGGAAGGAGGCAAAGAACTAAAGAGAAACTGATCATTTCAAAAACAGGACTGAACCACCCAAATCACTGAATATGTTTGAAATAAGCCGAACACTCAACGCCGCCTTGTTGAGCAATGAGGTAAAGACACTTGCTTTTGCTTATCTCCTCTTTCTCATGCCACCTCTGTACATCTGCTGCCAACCATTCTGTCATGTGTGATGTTGTGTGCTGTCCGTGTGTCCGTGCTACTCTGTGTGCCCGTAGCCACTAGACACTTATATTTGTAAAAAGAAGATGAAGTGAACTCAGGAGGCAAGAAACCAAACCAACTACTATGCTTCTCACGTGCATCCTCATGAATTTAAAATTAGACTTTGTCCCCTTTTGTAACTACCTGTGTGCCAGGAAAAGTGCCTTCTTGGGAATACCTGGAGTGTCTTGAGTGCAAGTTTGCATTACATTATTACTACAAATGTATTTAGTAAAAACTGTTACATTCTGCTTTGTTTAAGTACCTCTTTGGAGTCCTTCACTATCCCTTCTTCCTTTCTACATGCTCTTTCCTCCCGGATCTTTCCATTTCTGAGTACACGTGTGTGAGTGTGTGTGTGTGTGTGTGTGTGTGTGTCTGTGTGTGTGTGAGAGCAGCATCTCAAAACACTGGCATTCTATGGACAGTAGCTCTTAAAACATACTCCCTCCCTTTATTTCAGTGGCTTCTTTATTGAACATCTCTTTAAATTGGCTTCAGTTCACTTCTAGTAAATCTAATGATATTCCCATAAATGAGCAAAGGCAGACTAAATGTAAAACACAGCACATATGGGAAAAGTAGGCAGACAGTGTGCATGAGGAAAAATGGCAAAAGGGCAGAAAAAGACAAATCGATGTGGAGCTGGAGCTTGTATTCCCAGTGGATAGTATTAGTAAATATTTACATTGTTATGTTTGTTCAATTATGAACGCCTACTCTGTATTTAGTATCTGCCAGTCAGACTGATATCAGGGGAATGAGGGCAGCCTGTGAACCAGTTTGTGCACATTTGTGAGTTTTCTATTTAGCTTTCAAACTAAATTAAATGTTGGATTTTGTATTAACCAAAAATTATAAAACACAGTTTTAAGAATGTATATTATGAACAACATAGTTATAGCAAAAGTATTTAGAATTTTAATTCATAGAGGTTATTTCCTTCACAGTAAAAACTTTCAGGTCATCATTACCCATTTTCTTCCTGTGTAAATGACCATTTATACAAGAACACCCTGAGCATTTTGGGGAAAGCCAAAATCCCTGCCCCGCTGCATTAAGGCAACACGGAGCGGTGGGTGTCTAATGGGCTGTAGGCTTGTGCATTGGTTCAGCTGTCTTCACACTGGCTCAGATCCACACCCTAGAGCCCCCCGGAAGCCTCCACATCCCCCTGTCATGTGCTCACTGTACCCAAGGGTGCCCCAACAACTCTATGCAAATGTGCGGATAAGGACTGAAATATGTCCACCAGGAGTCGGGCTTTAAAAGTCTGTTTTGATTTGAGCTTTTGAATTTGTTCAGCGTGTTGTTGTCATTGCAGAACACATAAAATGAATGTTTGCCTTATTCAGATTCGCAGCCATCCTTATCAATGATTTGCTAAAAGCCAGTGGGCTATGAATTATTTGTTGCAACCAAAGGAGCCAATTACCTGATTTTATTACATAAATATGATTACCATTTGAAAATATTTGATGAGAGAATAATTTTATTTAAAATTATAATTTAACCAGATTCTTTCAGTCACTCTAATTTCTCTACAGTTTATGCTATTTGAAAACAGAGAAGCAAATGTGTATTTACAAATGAAAATGGAAACTGGCTTTAGCAGAGTCATTCTGCCCAGTTTCTGGTGGTTGTAGTTGCCCATGTGATGGAGCTGGTCATGGAGCATGCCGTGTGGTGTGTAGGCGAGTGTGTATGTCCTGGTCATATGCTTGTGTGAGCACTGGAGAGGCTGCTGCTGCTGTGTGTGCATGATTACCCTGGTTAAGAAAGAGCATCGTTATAGTGATTAATGGTGCCTTCATTAAGCTCAGCCAGATCATTTGCATACATTAGATAAATGCGCTGGAAGATTCAGTTGGCTTCAGATTGTTGAAGCTTAAAATACTGTGTTTTTACCAAATTTTAAACTTGAACAACCAAATGTATCTAAAAGTTTTGTAGATAAGTATAAACGTTGATATATTATAAATAGTAAACCTATCTGAACTTCTCTTACAGTTAACTGGCAAAAATAAAATATTTTTAACAGTTATGTATGTATGTGAATGTCTTTTTGGTGGTGGTCAGTATGACATGGAATCTCATTTGTGCTCATTTGGCTACAAGCTGCTGGACACCAAAGAGCCTCCACCAAATTAAATTCAGAATCCATCAGAGCTGAGCCACACATAGAATATTTGCAATTAATAAAATTTTAGCCAGCGTTCCTCTTTAGACTGCAGTGTTAGTTTACAGCACTGAGATGGCCAAGCATGCACAGAGAGTGCATTTCAAATTATATTGTGCAAAGGGAATAAAATTTTTATCTCAAAAAAGCTGCATTGCGCTATGCTTCAGATCTGAATGTTGTTAATTTGTAGAAAGCTTCACTGATTACCAACTGCAGGCAGCTGCCGTTCTCCATGTGACACGCGCCTTTGTTTAACAACTCCAGTCAATTCTGTTCAAACATTAAAAAACACAGTTGCATCTCAAAGTTAGGTTCATCTCAACAAACAAAGGAGATTTGTTTTTGTGTATGTGTGGGAATAGCCGGTGCAGCAGCGTATCAGGAGCCAGCAGATAGTTGGAGGTCATCTCTATTTCATAACAATGATTAGCTCCCTTCCATCTGCCGCTCCCCACATTTCCTCGCTTTCCTTGATTGCGGCGTTCTCAATATCCAGGAAATTAGTTCATTTTTGCTCCACAAGCCTTAGCGCTGTCACTGAGATACAAACAGGTGCAGACAACCAAAGTGTACCACACCAGGGAAAATGGTGTATAATGGAAGAAAGAGAGAGGGAGCAGAAAGCCAACTGGCATGTACAATAGAAGCTGATTAATTGGACATTGCCATGTATTTGGATTGTGTTGAATAATACTGTATTGCTAATTTGCTATTAAAAACAATATCAAGTCTTTCCCCCTCCATATTGTTTTTGGCACATGTCACACGTACGTGTGGCATGAAAATCACATCAGACAAAAACCTTGTCATTTGTTATGAATATCGGTTTTGACAGCTTTCATTGAGGAGCATACATATACACCATCACACCAGCTATATTTATAAATCTGCACTGTGCTATATTATGGTATTTTCATGTAACATCATATGGAGTTTGGCTTGGGCATGTGTGTACATCATGTCGTGTTTGCTCTGGATATGAGCACATGCAGTGTGTCAGTGGCAGTGAACACAGAGAGGCTAAGAGACACTGCAAGGGGGGCCTGAAGGGTTCACATTTGTTGGAATAGCTCGGTGCTTGCATGTGTGTGCGCATGTGCGTGTGTGTCGGCCACTGGTGCTGCAGGGAGGGCCTAGTGATCAGCAGCTGAGCCTCTGTCCCGCTGGGAGCCATCACTGCAGAATGGAGCAGGTGTCTACGCACACACACACACACTAACACACATACACACCACTGTAAACCCCACCAGTGTTTTTATACACATCCAGCCCGCTCATTTAGACCGACTGCAGGGTGCCTTTCTATGTGGATTTCATTGGATGTTTGCGGGCTTTTGATCATTACCTATTTTTCATACCCACTGAGTCAAATAGGAACACATATCTGAAGTGCAGCTATAAACAATAGTGTTGTAGCCCTCACCATAGTAACATGCCCAGTCTGACGCCAGCCTTTAGCATTTGAATATTTTGACCTAGAAGTAATGATCCTAAATTCTACAGCAACACATTTTAAAATACATATTCTGTCTTTTTAAGAAACCCACTCTTTTATTGTTTGACAAAGCACCGATGTGAAATATTTGATCCTTGATATGGACAGTACTATGAAATAAAATTTTATCTTGTTCTAGTTACAGTATAGTGTGGACAGCTCATATGGTACATTACTGTACAAAGTATGCAACGAAAGAGAAAAAAAAATTGCTATAATAGCACATATGGCACATATTCAGAGCAATATTATACAGTACTATGCAATTTTGTATTTATTTGCAATGGCAATTTTAAAGTCATTTTAATTTACTTCTAGTTTTGCTGTCCCAGGTTAGTACAAGAATTTAAGGAGACAGGTAACTAACTAACCAAACTTAACAATTACAGGTTTCTGCTTGAAAGGATGAACAGAAAATTCCTACACTGACAAGAGAAAAGCAAATAATAGCAGTGAAGAATCAATTTATGAAGTCATATTACAAGCTCTTTAAACAATGTTAACTGTCATTTCAGGTTGACATTATCAGCAAATGGTAGGCTGAGATGTTACGCAACACAATAACCGGCAGATAGACTAAATTAATTAGAAAAGTGACAGTGATATGAAATTGTACAACAGATATGTCAGCCTGGTACAAGCTGACAAAAGAGGTATTAGTGAGTGCAAGCCCCTGTCTGACCTGCAATAATCCAATCAGACGCCTCGGCTCAGTCTTCTCTCACAATACACACAAATGATCACAATGTTTATTAAATAAACAGCATTGTATTTTAATTTATCCACACATGACATAGACATACTGGAGCAAAGGCAAGAAGGTAAAAATAGGTTGCTGTAATTTAAGAATGCAATGTCAACTCTCGTAAGCGGCCATTATTTTCAAGAACAACATTTGGACAAACAGTACGATCTTTTCCAATCTCTTTCAGAACGGATGGTTCCTGTTCCAATGAGCTTTTATTGATTCACTAATTGCTGTGGATGAGGCAAAGTATCAGCTGCCCCCAATAATAAATGATGTATGACTGAATGTAGTCATTCAAGATGTAGCCTTTTGGCTAATTCCAGAATTTGTCAAATAACTTAAATCTTACTTGATAATTTTTTATGCAAAATTTTAATCTATATTTTCATAAATTTATTATATGTGCTTTTTAAATGTATATACATATGGAGCTTTTTTTTTTTGCATTTTGTTCTTAGTATCT